CCACGGGTCGCGGACTCCCGTGTCGCCTACCTCGAAGGACGACTCCAGCTCGTCCACCAAGGTGGTGTTGGAAGTTCTCGGAGCGCCTGGCGCCGCGTGAAGAAGCGAGGGCTGGCCCGGGAGCCCCGGCGGTGGCGGCGGGGGCCCAGGGGGCTGCCCCGAGCACATGCCACCCAGCGCCGCTGCCATGGCGGGGGGGGGTCTGCGCCTGCGCGGGGATCGGCCCAGCGCGCGAGCGGGAGTCGGCCCACTGCGCCTGCGCGGAATCTGGCGCCCCGCACGAGCGCGGCCCACAGTGCGCGGTCACGCGACGGCCCGGCCTTGGCCCACGCGGAGCGCGGCGGCGTCTCCTGTTTGTCCCGAGCACTGCTGGCGCTGGCTGCTCTCCGGGCCGCGGGGCAGGCCGGGCCCGCGGGGATCGGCCCAGCGCGCGAGCGGGAGTCGGCCCACTGCGCCTGCGCGGAATCTGGCGCCCCGCACGAGCGCGGCCCACAGTGCGCGGTCACGCGACGGCCCGGCCTTGGCCCACGCGGAGCGCGGCGGCGTCTCCTGTTTGTCCCGAGCACTGCTGGCGCTGGCTGCTCTCCGGGCCGCGGGGCAGGCCGGGCCGCCAGGGGGACAGGACGCGGCGACAGGTGGAGCCGCGGTGGGGGACCGCGAGGCCTGCTCGGGGCTCAGCACGGCCCCGTTCCTCCTTACGGGGCGTCTGCTCTCTAGCCTGTCCAAACCGGGCTTCAGTAGAGAGACCCTGCACGTCGGCCCAGCCTCCTTAACGCCAGCCTCCCCGAAGCCGGGTCCGCGTTCCCGCGCACCAGCCCACCCACCCCTGGCGCGGCCCGGCGGGCTGCCCGGTGTCCCGGGCGCAGAGGGCCTCGTGGCTGGGAGTGGCCGCAATCCCCCGTGGGGCCGGGGTGGTGCCGGAGGGCGCTGGTCCCGACCTGGCAGCTTTCTCTGTCTCTCTCTCTCTCTCTCTCTCGCTCTGTCCCTCTCTGGTCAAGTTAAAAATAACTAAAGAAAGACAAAAAACACCTCGTTTACAAAGTGGGCCCGGCGCCCGGGAAAGACTACCAAGAGCGAGGTGGGCAGGCGCGTGCAGTGCCCGGCCTAGACAGGAACCTGATGGGGACGTGTTTGAGAGCAACCCCTGGAGTCGTGCAGCGGCCAGACAGGAGGCAGACCGGGGTCTGCGGCTGCAGAGAAGGCAGACTAGCCCCAGGCACTGACGCGGAGGTGGGAGACTGCGCTTGCTCAGGGAGACCCCGGTTTTGGGAATGCGTTTCCGGTGTCATTTGCGGACTGATTTTTGTGAAGACCGGCTTTAGTCTGACATTTGTTTCTCCAGGACTGCCCGCAAGCCAGGCCACGGTTCCAGGCCCCTTGAGCTACGCCCGGACTATGGTCAGCTGCAAAGGCAGGGCCCCACGTAAGCCAGGCTGGTACCATCCGGCTGGCAGCCACCAGGCAACAGGGCGGCCCTCCCTCCTCGGACCAGGAGCAGCATGCTCATCCGGTCTACTCTGGCTCCCCGGGAACCTTCCCAGTGTGCACACGTCCCCTCCGGCTGTCCCTGGCCAGGGGCTCAGCAGCCTGCTGGGAGCGGCCCTGGTAGCTCTCTTGGTACAGCGTGCACTGTCCCTAATCACGAGGGCTCACGTGGCACTGGGCAAGGTTGAGTTAGACAGGTCGTGGCACAGTGAGGCCAGGCTTGCAGACCCATGGATCAGGGTTCTAATCCACATCCTTCCAAGCTCATCAACTGCCTCCTTCCCTGTCCCCTTGAGTGACACTGCTCCCAGCCAGTCTGCATTCTCCAGTCCTCTGCAGTGGGCGTGGCCCACCTTGCCCAGGGTGTGAGCGCTGGGCCTTGGGGACATACAAAGGTGTCAGCAGCAGGGATGGCTCCATCTCTGTTGCTCTCCTCTCTCAATCTCCTCCTGCCTCTGGCTCCAGCAGCTGCCTGGGACTAGAGGGGGCCCGGGGGACATGGGAGGGACACATTCCTGGCCTGGGTTTCTGAGGGCTGTGGGCCCGTCACGTTCCAATCCCGTGTTCCACCTTTGTGTCTCCACCGCCGCCTGGTCTAAGTGACACGGGGACCCAGAATGTGGCTCGGAGGGCCTGCAGGAGCTGGCAGCCTGCATGTGCGGGACGACTGGTAAGCGTCACCTCAACCTGACGAGCACGTGGAACAGGGTTCTGCTTTCCGTATCCGGACACCACAGGCACGAGGGTCCTCGTGTTCTTTACCCACAGAAAGCCTTTGAGGGAACCAGCAGTTAGCGTAATGGCTATGTCGCTGGACTCCCACGTAGTCGACCGCAGTTCGCGTCCCGGACCCGGTGGCTTAAAACTCACACCGGGCGCGTGTGCGTGTGTGCCCAAGATCCCGAGAGGAGAATGGAGAAGGGATTGCGGCGTGGCCATCCCCCCTGGGGGGTGATTTCTCACTTTCTGTCTCTATGTCTCTCTCTGTCTGTCTGGCGAGCGCACACGCCCTATAGCAAAAACCTCTCAAAAAGAAAAGCTGACAGCCTTTCATCCCTCGCTGCGGCTTCTGAGTCACCGGAGAAACCTGTTGCTTCTGTCCTAAGCTGGTAGCTCCAACCCTTGATCCCATCCTCCGAGAAGTAGCCCTGCAGTCTGGGTACCCGGAGCTTACCCCCTGCCTGCTGCTCCCCGTTGTAATCCACAGCTGTGCACGTCCACTGCCAGGTCCTCCCTACAGAACACCTGGGACACACGGCGTCCTCCTACACGTCCAGCAGGTGGTATGGTGGTTGGGGCACTGGACACTCCCACGTGGCCAACCACAGTTCGACCTGGTGGCTTGCTTTCTCACTTTCCCTCCCTCTCTTTCTCTCTGGTCAAATAAAATAAATACATACATAAAGTTAAAAAAAAAAAAAAACTGCAATAGAGAGGAACCAGCAGATGGTGTAATGGTTACATCATAGGACTCCCACATAGTCAACTGCGGTTCAAGTCCCAGACCAGGCAGCTTAAAATTCACACCAGGTGCATGTGCGTGCATGCCCAAAGTTCCAAGAGGAGAATGGAAAAGGGACTGTGGTATGGCCATCCCCCTTGGGGGTGATTTCTCACTTTCTGTTTCTCTGTCTGTCTCTGGCAAGCACATGTGCCTTATAGCAACAAAAAAACAAACAAAAAAACCCAAAAAAACTCTCTAAAAATGTAATTCAGCTGACTAGTGGTAGTCCCAGCAGGTACGCATGTAGTTACTCGTAGGTAGTTTGTGCTTGGTTTTTTTTTTAGGTTTTTCCACAGGGTATGTGCACTAACCAGAGAGACAGGGAATGCTTGTCCCAGGCATTAAGAAGGTGAGAAGTCACCCTCCCAGAGGGATGGCATGCTGCAATCCCTTCTCCATTCTCCTCCTGGGACGTGCCCAGCATGAGTTTCAAACTGCCGGATCCAGGACTTGAACTGTAGTCGACCACGTGGGAGTGCAGGGCCTTAATCACCAAGTCACCAGCCCTTTCAGTTTTGTTTCTTATTTCGGTATGTCCGTTAGCTTTCCTCCCCTGTGGTTCCCTGAACTGAAGCACGCATAGCAGCGTACCCATGGGGCATGGCACGCCGGCTCGGAGATGCCAGCTGTCTACGCCGATCGCAGCCGGTTACCAAGCCTCTTCTCTGCGTCCTCCTCCCCGGGCACGTGGGAGTAAGAGTCCTCACTCCCGGGGTGAACACTGCACCACACGCTCGGCCGCAGTCAAACACTGAGCGTCGGCCCTGAGGAGCTGTCCCCACCACAGAGGCCGACGGGGCCACTCGGTTAACGTCACACGGCCAGAGGCAGGCCGTGCCATGCTGTGCCGTGACTGGGGCTGTAGTAAAACACGTATCAGGACTCCAGAGAGCACCAAGTCGGGGTTTATTGTTTTGACACGCGCATGGTAACTTTCCGTTTGCTCACGTTCCTAGCATCACAGATCTGAAATACAATTTTGTTTCTCAATTAAAAACATTCTCTGAAAAGTGATTAGGAAAATTTTAAAAATCAATCATGTATAGATTCTCTTAAAAATCCTTGCCAAGCAAGACAGTAGCTTTACCTTTATAAATCTTTGCATAAAATGAAAAAAAAATCAAGGCATATGAATTTCATTTTGCTCAACATTTTTAAATACTATCCTTTGTCCCCTTTAGAAGATTTTCATACATTCATTCAAAAATATTCTGAAGTTTAACCGTCCCACTGAGGACGGAATGAAGGGATTTTCAAGTATTTTCACTAAGCGCTGTCTTGGCTAAAACGAAGTAAGAACTCGATCAGCGTCCTCGTGGGCCTGCCGGTCATGCCTTTCCGCAGGTACGGGACCTCGTCCTTGTTGGTCATCACGCCTGCGATGTCCAGGTGGGCCCACTTCGGGTGGGTCACGAACTCTTTCAGGAAGGCCGCAGCTGTGCACGCACCGCCAGATCTGAGGGGACAAGGTGACATGAGCCCGCGTCAGGGTGCCCTGGGTGTTTGTACCACAAGCCGAAATCATTGCTACTTTCAGATTTTTATCTTAGGGCATGTGTACTCACTACAAAGAGACACAGAGAGACAGAGAGCGAGGGAAAGGGGGAACTCGCCCTCCACGGGGAGGTGTGGTCGTGCCACAGTCCCGGCTCCTGCACTCCTCTCGGGATCTTGGGTAAGCACACACACGTGCCTGGTGTGATCTTCGGCTGCTGGGTCCAGGATCTGAGCTGTGGAGTCTGCCATGAGGGGTCAGGCACCTTAACCCCCACACTCCTGCTTGCCCAAGATTCCAAACTTGGCTTAAGGTTTTCATTACCTTTATTCCTCCATGAATAGACAGGGACAGCACTCCAGCAGGGCCTTCACTCCACAGCCAGCCCCGAATGTGGGTGGGCACATGCGTGCCGCTGTGTCAGCCAGCTCCAGTCGTGGGAACTGGCAGCCGCGGGGGCCGATGCGGGGGTGCGAGCTCGAGGCTGGCTGGGCAGCACAGCAGGCCCCGTGTGAGAAAGCAGATGTGGGGCAGAGGTGCACGCCTGTCCCCGGGGACTGAGGCAGGAGGGCTCTGGCGAGACCCAGCCCTCGTTCAGAACACTCATTTCAGACATGGCGATAAGCAGTGAAGGACAATCCTAGACCCTTTCCCCCATGGGTTCCCTTGTTTTCCAACTCTTTATCATTTGCTTAGAGCCAACTTTAGATTTGAAACATGGAAAATTTTGAGAATGAACTGGGGAAATGTCTTAAAACCTCAAGACATTACAAACCTTACAAGTGCTGCAGCACAAGGAAACCGGGTATTTGGATTGGTATAAAGGGCATAAAACTGAAAATACTCGGCAGTCAAGGATGGTGGTAAAAACATGCACGCGTGGGGCCCGGCAGGTGGTGTGGTGTTTGGGGGCACTGGACTCTCACATGGCCGGCTACAGTTACGAGTCCCGGACCTGGTGGCTTTTTCTCTCTCTCTGGTCAAATTGAAATAAATAAAATTAAATAAAATAATTCTTAAAATAAATAAATTAAGATGCGCTCGGTAGGACCAGCAGATGGCAAAACGGTTATGTTGCTGGACTCCCACATAATTGACAATGGTTCGAGTCCTGGACCCGGCAGCTTCAAACTCACACCAGGGACGGGCAGGTACATGCATGCCCAAAATTCCAACAGGAGACTGGAGAAGGGGAGGTTGTGGCATGGTTACCCCCTGGGGGGCAATTTCTCGCTTTCTGTCTCTGGCGAGCACACACCATATAGCAACAATCTCTCTAAAAACCAAACATGCAGCTCGTTTTCCATACCTGTATTTCCCAATGTTGTTAAGGTCAGCTAGCTGGCAGTCGACCACCTGTCTCGTATAGTGCTCGAAGAGCGGCATCCTCCAGACGCGGTCCCCGGTCTCCACGCTGGCCTAGGAGACAGGTACAAGAGGGTCGGGCTGGATGAGGCGGCTCCGGAAAGCTCCAGGCACCGGCCTGCCCGATGCATAGAGGAAAGGGCCCATCTAACCTGCTACGCTGAATCAGGAGCTATCGTTTCACTCGCTGAAAGGTGTAAGAACTATAAAGGTACTAGAACTGGAAAGCAGTTCCACCCACCTCTGGGCATTTGCTAAGAGCGAAGGAAAATGAAAAGGTCTGGCTTAAATGAATGAGTCAGGAGGAGATGGGACTGCAGGTGGCCACCCTCCCCGAGGGGTTGATTTCTCGCTTTTATCTGTCTCTCTGGGGAATGCATGTGCCCTACAGCAAAACTTTCTCTAAATAAATAAAAGTCAAAATGATAACGTTTGGGTGCTACGACAGAGACAGGCTGTGGGAACTGAGGTCCAGGCCCAGCGGGGACCTGAGCTGGGTGTGGAGGGTGGAGGGAAGGGCTTCACGAGGGAGCCAGTGAGGCTGGGAGGGGACCCGGGAGCCGCCCGGGGGCATCCTGTGCAGCGCGGCAGCCATGTGGGCACCAGCGGGGGGGCTTCTCAGGGCAGCCGTGACGAGCGAGACAAGCGTGTGCAGGGACAAGGGTGACTGAGGCAGAGGGGGACAGGGACACGAGAAGGTGGCGGAGGGCGCGGGCCAGGCAGCTCCGGGAGGTGGCAGGGGAGCAGTGCGGCCTCAGGACAGGTCACGTTACTCAGGGTCCTGGAGGAGGAGGGGCTCACACCCCTCCAGGGACAGGCGTAGAAAGCCCGAAGCCACCGAGGGCGCTGACTGCGAGGGCTCCTCCACACGGCACCCGCAGCGTGCCGGTCACTGCCGTGGGCTGGGCATGTCTACGCCCGGTGGCCACTCCCCCCCGTGAGCTACACCTGCACTTACTCCCTACCTCGAACAGTCGGTTCCACAGCCAGGACGAGTTGGTGAAGACCCCCGTGGCGCCTGACCCCAACGCGACGTCCATGGCTCCTGGAGGACAGACGTCGCAGGGCAAGTTGGTCTCCCTGGGCACGCGGGGCACCTCAGAGGCTCCAACCGAGACGCCGGCCTCGAACCCTATTCCACGACCCTCGTTTCCAGAACAGGTAAGCTCTGGAAATCCTAACCACATACATTTAACATACGCTCATGTTTCCCGGTAGGATTCACCTTTAGTTACTAAGAAAAAGCCAAAGAGGAGACAATACCGAAAACCACCAGTAATCTCGCCTCCCGGCGTTTCCTTCCAGGCACCACTCACCACCCTGCCCAGTCCCGCCAGAGGGGCCCCTCGGCCCTCACAGGGCCTGCGTGGGGCCCAGTCCCGCCAGAGGGGCCCCTCGGCCTCCTCACTCACAGGGCCTGCGTGGTGGCCGACATGGGGCCCAGTCCCGCCAGCAGTGGCCCCTCGCCCCTCCTCTTTCTTAGTGAGCCTGCTGGGCGGACGGCAGGCTGGGAACCATGGAAGTACCGTCATGGCCACCTTCCGACAGGCTCAGTGCTCACTGTCCCCAGGACTCCCCCACATACAGAGAACTGAGCTCCCAGACCCAGGAAAGA